TATATATATATATATTCGTTTATCATTTTTTGCATTTTTTTTTCTTTTATGATGCGTTGGAGTTGATCATAAGATCTCGTATTTGCTTTGGCGTAGGCTGTGGAGAATGTGAATACAGTTATAGCCCCTGCTCTGATTGGGAAGGTATTATACAGCTGTAAAATTGGACTGATGGCATACTGTTGGAAACAAGTTAATTGTGGATAATTGATTTCATTTGTTATTTGTTTGTCTTCACAGGACCCAACCAACCAGACTGAAATTGACAATTATATGGTACAGCAGCTTGATGGAACTGTTAACGAGTGGGGCTGGTGCAAGCAGAAGGTATCACTACATGATTTCTTTTTGCATTATAGAGCTCGGTGACTGCATCTCTTGTAGCTGTATTGGGCATTCAGTTTATGCTAATTGGGTTTCCAATATCTTGACATTTTTAGCTGGGAGCCAATGCTATTTTGGCAGTGTCACTTGCTGTCTGTAAGGCTGGTGCTTCAGTGAAAAAAATTCCTCTGTACAAGGTATATGAGGTTTTTCAGTAATTATAGTTTTTATCTGTGAATCTTGTGTTCTTATGGTATGTTTTTGTATTGTTTTAATTTTTCAGCACATTGCCAATCTGGCTGGAAACAAGACTTTGGTACTGCCTGTACCTTCATTCAATGTTATCAATGGAGGTTCACATGCAGGAAATAAACTAGCAATGCAGGTAATGTCTATTTAATACAATAATGTACAGGGACAATTCTATATTGAAATACGTACCCTGTATCCTCTTCTCTAGGAATTTATGATTCTCCCGGTTGGGGCATCTTCCTTCAAAGAAGCAATGAAAATGGGCGTGGAAGTATACCATCATCTGAAGGTAACAGTCCTTTCCGCGTAACTTTTTTTTTTTTTCCTTTTTTTTTTTCTCAAAATTAAGAAAAAAAAAATGGATGAATGCAGAAACATTATTATTAGTGATCATGATGTTCACGTGTTTATCTTACAGTCTGTGATTAAAAAGAAGTATGGACAGGATGCTACTAACGTGGGTGATGAAGGTGGCTTTGCTCCTAATATCCAGGTCCTAACCAGCTACTTTAGTTTTAGTGATCTAAGCATTATTTAAAAGTAATCTATGATTTTTCTTGCATTTAGTTTTAGCTGAATGATATATGTTTTTGTGCATCAATATCTTATAATGTAATATTAAGATGTATGAAACGCCATCTTTCTTTCTTCTGTCACAGAACATTAATTATCTTTATCTGCTTGTTCAATATAATTTTATCTCCCCAAGCTATATGTTTGTTGCTTAATTTATAGGAAAACAAAGAAGGTCTTGAACTTCTGAAGACTTCCATTTCCCAAGCTGGTTACACTGGAAAGGTTGAATCCCGCCCTGTCTAACTGAAGCACCTTAACATATAGCTGATTAAGTTCTATTCTCACAGGTTGTAATTGGTATGGATGTTGCTGCTTCAGAATTTTATAATAACAAGGACAAAACATATGACTTGAATTTTAAGGAAGAGGTTGACATATTACGAACTTTTTCCCAATTTTTATATTTTCATTTTCCACCATTAAGGGAAGAGGTTGTCAAACGCTTTAGCTAGATAACTTAATACTTTGTTGCAGAATAATGATGGATCGCAGAAAATCTCAGGCGATAGCTTAAAGAATGTGTACAAATCATATGTGACAGATTATCCAATTGTGTCTATTGAGGATCCATTTGATCAGGATGACTGGGAGAACTATGCAAAATTAACATCTGAAATTGGAGAAAAAGTGCAGATTGTTGGTGATGATCTCCTCGTCACCAACCCGAAGGTATGCTTTATTAACTCCAAATCTGTGAGCTAGGGATTGCAAACACGCATCAATTTGACATTATTATCTCTGTTAAATATGTAGCGTGTGGAGAAAGCCATTAAGGAGAAGGCTTGCAATGCTCTTCTGTTGAAGGTAAATTAAATTTTGCCTTTTTTTCTAAAACACACACACACACACATATATATATATATATATATGCTTAAGGATCAGGATTTTAAATTACACTGTAAATTAAATATATTTTTTTATCCGATAAATTCTGTATCTGTTCTTATGGAAAAAAATCATTTTTCACTTTGAATATTAGGTGAATCAAATTGGTAGTGTAACTGAAAGTATTGAAGCTGTGAGAATGTCTAAACGAGCTGGTTGGGGTGTCATGACTAGCCACCGGAGGTAATGAATGTTCATTTTCCCCCCTTGTATGCATTTATTCTGTTTTTTAACATTGTATTACTCTCCGTAATGCAAACTAATGTGTTTCATTTCGTATGCTTTAGTGGTGAAACTGAGGATACCTTCATCGCCGACCTCGCAGTTGGGTTATCAACTGTAAGTTGTCAGAAGCTTTCTTAGAATCGTTTGTCATGTTTCTTTTTCATTTTTCAGGGGAGAGTCCTCGCAGGCAATTTGTGTCTAAATTTTGAAATACATTTATCATGAGCTGATATCATTGGGTCATTCTTTGTCATTATCTAACAGGGTCAGATCAAGACAGGAGCTCCCTGCCGATCTGAAAGGCTTGCCAAGTACAACCAGGTAAAAAACTGTCAATATTTTGATTCTTATTTTTGTTTGATGGGCTGAATATAGTCATTACAATACCTAAGAACCCATTTTTTAGAGACCCAGGCCACCTGATTCATAACCTTGTTATTTATTTTATGCTCTTCCGCATTATTTCATACTAAAACATAAGATGGATGGTACAGTGCTTATCTGCTATATAAGTTGGACTGTTGTTACTTACCTTTCTTTGGTTTGTGTGTTGCAGCTTCTGAGGATTGAGGAGGAACTTGGATCAGATGCTGTGTATGCTGGTTCCAAATTCAGAGCCCCAGTTGAGCCCTACTGATTATTTAGCACAGGATCACCAAACAGCATTTAAATAAGATTCTGTTGACTGCATGGGGCATGGCATGTACTTTTTTCAGAAATTAAACTAGTCTTTTATCAAGAGGAATATAGATTTCCTTGAGCGTGGGATTTTGAGCGAGAAATTAGGTCTATGTTTGGCATGTTATAGACAATTATCAAATATTACTACAAATCGTGGATAAATTATAGTGTCTAATTTGATTTTCTTGCCAATTCAACAATCGTGAAATCACTATGATGTCGATCATGTAGTGAGGTAAAACAGCTTATTCTTCGTACGTTGTCATCAATCCAAATTAAAATCATTAAATTTTGACGCCTAATAGCAACACTAATACTATATTGTTTCAGGTGGCAATCTATTTGAATCCCAATATCTGGCCCAGTTTTTCTTGTCACGGATGGTCCAATCAAAATTAAATTAACTAGGTTTAAAGTTAGGATTTTAGCCATTTTAATATATTCTGACACCTCTTGCATTTGCAACAGGTTTTCCAATGTTTTTGCTAGTGGTGACGTGAAAAACATAGCCCAGTTGTGCCAGTAATAACTGGAATAAGATCATAAAATGAGTCTAGAATTGTACTGATAATTGGGTTTTCATGCTATTTCAGCTAAAAGCAGTAAAATGAAAAATTAAAAGGAAGTGAAAGTAGTAAAGGAAAGTGATCAATAAAGATATATGCAAGATAAAATAGGTCTGATTTGAATCGACTGTGTATTTTGATTTGTGTTGAAGACCTATAATTTCTATATTTTTAAAACTACGTGAGTAACATTTTTTATTTCTTATATCATGAAAGGTTTTCGATTCCTATACTCATAGTACTAATCATTTGAGATGAAAATATATAGTTATCAAAGATTAAACAATAAAAATAAAACAGTTGTGAATGAAAGAAATGCATTTACGTTACGTGTATAACAAACTGTGTTTTTTATTTCTTTTTCTTTCAAAATCAATTCTTACTTTTCTAGGCATTGGTAATTTTTTCTTTAGAGTGAATTAAAAGTATGTGTTTGGATTTATCTCATTGTGCAGTGAACAAAACACAATCCAAAAACATTTGAACTAAGAATGAGTTGAATTTTTCTAATATGTTATTTTGCACATGTTGACAACAAGACCAATAATTATTTTTCTTTCCGACACGTTGCAAACAACAATAGAACATGATATTAACTAAATAGTGAATCTTAACTACGTTTTTACAAGGTAGAAGTAAACTTAGACGGAGACGAAACAAGACAAATGCATTAGTTATAATAATGTTTTTTTATTATACTCTACCAGATAATGGAAGTTATGGAAAGAATTTTCGTAGCATATAATGTCAATATATAGAGTAAAAAAGATCCCGTTACATTTACAATAATAATCACATTTTTTTTACATAGTCAGTTTAGAGTGGATAAAATTAACAAAGTTACGATAAATGTTTTCATGTTTGATACTTTAATTAAAAGACATGGGTGGAGTAGGAAAAGTAACTCGTATGCATGGCGAGAAATGAGACAAAAAAAAATAGTTGAAACTCAATCTGACAATTAATCTATTGAAGTTGATTTATGATTTAAATTTAGGTTAAAAATTTAAACTTGTTAATTGAATTTGAACAATGTAAAAAGTTGAATTTGATTATTTCACAAACTATTTTATATATAGTTTTTATGCATTAACCCAATTCTTAATAAGGGGTTCTGTTCTGTGGCTGCTCCACTTTCTATATATATTGTAATTAAATTTTAGATTTAGTAGCTTTTAATTATTATGAAAACCTGAAATAAATCCATGAATAAGTTAAAATTTTGTTAAACTTGTTTACTTAACGAAGGTATCTTTTGAGTGAAGAAAAAACATTTGTAACTTTAAATATATATTTGTTTTTTTACCAAGAAAGGTAGGAAGCTGAGAGTTTCGACTTGTTGGGAAAGTGAGGAGAGAAGCGCCACTCCGTCACGCTTTCTCTCTCATTCTCTCTCTACAATTCCTTTGGAAGAATTGTACTCAAAACCAAACTTGGATCTTATCGTTGTTATTTATTCATTTTGCAATCACATTCATTCTTGTTGTGAAGATGGAAAGCGCATCAGAGCTTGTGGAATTCCCGTTGTTGCTGACACCCATCGATTCCCACTACAGAGCATGCACCATTCCCTACAGATTCCCCTCCGATAACCCCCGCAAGCCCACTCCCACCGAAATCTCTTGGATTGATCTCTTCCTCAACTCCATCCCCTCTTTCAAGTGCGTTCGTCTCTCTTCTTCTTTTCACTAAAAATTTGATTTTTTTTTTTTTTTGTATACCCGATTCGCAGTTTTTCATCGCTCTCAGCATACCCTTTTGCTCCTTCTGGCCAGCAATGCCTAGTTTTGCTCTTGCTTTTGTTAATTTTTTTTTTCTTGTACAATTTGATAACAAAAATAGGTTGTTTTATTTTTTATTTTTTTTACATGGTTTTTTACTTATGATACTATGATATTTGATTGTGCAATTTTTATGATGATCAGGATTGTTTATACTGCTGCTGTAGTTACCACTTGCATTTATAAACATAAGTATGCTAATTCATTTTATTCGTTTTCTTATGCTTTATAAAGTGTGTCGACCTTTCTGCTCTTGTAGTTGGAGTTGATTTTATAACTATAGTTTTCAATTATAACCAATATATGTGTTTGTAAGTTGTAATGATGGTTGGTATATATGCTGGTGAGAGATGGACAACGTATTCAGGTGGTATCACCATTGCCATTTCTTTGTTGCTTACTGTTCAAAGATAGCAGTTTGAACTTGTTTGTAAATTTTTATATCTGTGGGAGTTACTGCCAAAGTGGTTGGTACAGTTGGGGTGTCAATAGTCCTGATTATGCTTGACACTTGTCATGGAATTTTTTTAACTTTCTTCCCATTTCCTTGGTACTGGGTTAGGGTTAGTTTGTTTATTTTAGTTGCTTTTTGGACTATAGAGGTTGCATTCAAAAGTCCAAAATTTACACCTAGAAGATGATTTAAGAGTTGTCTCAAGATAAGTAAAGGTGAATCTTCTTTATGAGTAGTTGAGTATTTGGTAAGTAATGATGTAAGCATCATTAATTTCAACAAAGGACCAAAATGTCATGATAATATTGAAGTCTCTGATAAGTAATAACAAATGGATGTTTAAGTTGTTTTAATAATAATTTGTGAACTTATTGATGTACTTTTTTTATATTTTTAATCAACCCAAACGCACCAAATGACCAACCAATTTGACTTTCTCTCTTTGTCTTTTAGGAGCCCATCTTTGTTAAATTAACAAACTTCCCACAGTTGTTTTTTCCTAATTAGTGAAATATGTGATTTTTGTTTGTTGTTTGTGTTTCTTGTTTACTTCATCTTTTAGCTTTGGTTTGACAGGAAACGAGCAGAGAGTGATACTTCTGTTCCTGATGCTGCTAGTAAAGCTGAAAAATTTGCTCAAAGGTGATTTTCATATCTACTATACTTAATAACTTGTAGTATGGGATTTACTAATTTTATATTTTGTTTATGCCTCTGCAAAAAGATATGCTGACATACTTGAAGATTTGAAGAAAGATCCTGAAAGTCACGGTGGGCCTCCTGATTGCATTGTATGTTCTATACTATAGCTAAGATTATAACCTAAGCCTCCTTCCCCCCAAAAAGGAATTAGAAGATAAAAGCAGAAATTTGTGATGTTTCTAAGTTCCTTCATTGTTTTTTTTTTTTTTTTTTTTCCTTTCTGGTGGGTGATTTTCTAGCTTCTCTGCCGGCTTCGTGAGCTAGTGCTTAGAGAATTGGGATTCAGAGATATCTTCAAAAAAGTCAAGGTAAGTTTACTGCTATTTAGGATGCCATTAGTTTCTGCTATGCAGCTTTGGTTATAAAAGGTTGAATAAAAGTGTATGCCTGTCTGATTGTATCAATTTTAATAAAGGAGAGATAGGGTGGTATTATGACATTACTTATGTACAATGTAGTTTTATTTCACCCAAGGTATGTTACTCCTTTCTGATTGACTGCAATAGGATGAAGAAAATGCAAAAGCCATCTCACTATTTGAGAATGTTGTTCAACTTAATGATGCCATTGAAGATGAAGGCAAGCGACTTGAGAATCTTGTTAGAGGAATTTTTGCTGGAAATATATTTGATCTTGGTTCTGCACAGGTAGGATGACTTACTATTCATTCTTTTGATAACTTTGCATTACTAAATTAAGACTCTTTTTAAAACCAGACTGCACTTACTTTCTCATCAAATACTATTTTTACTTGGTTTAGCTGCACTCGCTATGGATATTCTTTTATGTCCATGTTATGGTACCGAACCCTTTACCCATTCCTTCCAATTCCCTATTATTTGGTTTAGTTTAGTTCCTCTATAAGGACACATGGTGTGGTTGATATCATAAAATACAATATTCCTTAACTTTCCTTAGCTGGGTTGTTGATAGTACTAATGTCTATCCTTATTCCATTTTCTGATATTATTTGGTTTAGTTCCTCAATGCTTTGTGAAGACTAAGGACACATGTTTTAGGTAATTTATCCTTAGTTAAGATACAATGTTCCTTAACATCTTCCCGTCATTTGGCATAGTAAACTAGATATTATTAAAGCTTTACTTAGGTCTGAATTTATTTTCCTACTATAAGAAAGCTATTGAATTACATCTATTTGTACTTTAATTATTTCCTTATTCTTTTCACAATTTCTTGAAGCTTGCAGAGGTTTTCTCTAAGGATGGAATGTCCTTTTTGGCTAGTTGCCAAAATCTGGTTCCTCGACCATGGGTTATTGATGATCTTGAAACTTTTAAAATGAAATGGAGCAAAAAGTCATGGAAGAAGGCAAGTTTCTATATTAATTATTGAATATTTTGTGTCCTGGTTGCAGTTGCTAAAGTTGTAATATGTGCCTTTTACTATGGCAGGTTATCATATTTGTAGATAACTCTGGTGCAGACATTATTTTGGGTATTATGCCATTTGCAAGAGAGCTACTTCGGCGTGGGAGTCAGGTGCTGACATTTTATTTATTTTTAGACGTAAAATTCACTATTAAAAATATTACATAGAGATAAATGATAAGAACCCATGTTAAGATAAGAATGAAAGATAAAAACAAAGAAAAAAAGAGAAAATCAATGGAGCAAGAATGTCCAATCACTAACATGTTTACCTCATTTACAATCACTTACAAGTTTACCCCATTTACAAAGCCATTTACACCAAATAAAACCCAAATGCATGAATTTTACCTAAGCCAGTGTTATGTTGTTGAAATTTCTTTAAAAATACAAGTGTTATTGGCCAATCAAATGCACCCAAGTGTAGCATAGGTAGCACATTGCCACAAATATTTTGAATCTTTGCTTCTCCTAAAGCTGTGAAAGCATTTTTTTCTGATATTGTAGTTCATAAGATCAATCATTTGAACTCCAATTTATGGATAAAATGTGCTAATGATTGTCTTGTTGTAGATGTTTATTGGTTTTATTCCATTTTATTTATCTTTGAAATTGAAACAGCTTTTGATATGATGTCCTTGCAACTGGCATAACATATTGTACAATTCTATATGGATGCAGGTTGTATTGGCTGCTAATGACTTACCATCCATCAATGATGTGACTTGTTCTGAGCTAGTCGAAATTATATCAAAGGTAATGCAAATAAGTTTTATTTGAAGTTTTTTGAAATTGCCATAATCCTCGCTAACTCCTTCATTTTGGTTTCCCCTTATCCAGTTAAAGGATGAAAAAGGACAGCTTGTGGGTGTCAGTACTTCAAATCTTTTAATTGCTAACTCTGGCAATGATTTACCTGTAAGAAAATGCGCAATGCTTTTTGTTATTTAGGAAAATTTGGTATTTGAACATATGATATCAGAATATTAACCCTTTATGATGATTGTATCTTTCTTGCTTTTGTTGATCGGATTACAGGTTATTGATCTTACAAGAGTGTCACAGGAGCTTGCTTACCTTGCCAGTGATGCGGATCTTGTCATCTTAGAAGGGATGGTAAGTTCTTATTTGGATATTGTTGGAAACTTTTACTTGGAGTGAAGTAGAGTAACAAAGGAAATAGTTTTAGTAGCAATAGAATTAATTCACGGGTTAGTGGTAGTTGTGGATTAAAAATTGGTTGTGGAAGGTGAGAACAACACAAGTCTTGGAGTTTGAGCAACAACTTTGGATATTGACTTTAAAAAGATATAAAGTTGAGGGACTATAAAGAATGAATATGTATGGATTATGTTGGTATGAACCATCTAGCATTTCTTGTAAAAAAAACTTGGAAGCCATGTAAAATCAGATAAGTTATTTTGCTAATAGATCAAATTAGAATGGGAGAAGTCTATGTAGATATATAACATATTGGATCTGTTAGGTTTAAATCACAAAAAAGTTTTTGGACTGCACAGTCTAAAGAAACAAGTTACTTTCATTTAAGCATTCAGAAACTTTTCCTGGAAATTATGGATTATGGAAACAGGAAAAAAATGACATGTGTAAGGTGATTCTCATACTTGAAGCAGGAATTGTTGAGTGTCAAGTGGGTAAGAAGTCTTAGATGAGAATAGGCAAGTTAAACAATATATAATTTGCAAAGACTTTTACACTTATGCCTTAAAGTTTTAGGCTCCCTAGCAAACCAACATAGACACCTTTGTCTTCTGTGTTTAGCATGTATCCTATTTCATCTAGTTTTGACATTATCTCTTTCTGATAGTTAGGCACCATGTAGGTTATTCTAGGATATTTTTGCATATTTGCAAAGATTGAACCTTGTGGCCTGTTTACTTGAGAAAATATGTTCCATTTCAATTCTTATTTTTACTTCTTATTACAACAATATTATCTCATATTTACTTGTGTTCATTGTTTCTCATCCAAGACTTTAAAAACAGAAAATAAAGTGAAAATTTGAAGGCGTTTACTTGTACTTTTGTTTTCTATTTTTATTTTTTAATACAAATTTGTCATCTTGTTTTCAATCTGTTTCAGTTTCAAACAACATTGTAGTCTCCTCGTATTTGATTCTGCAGTTGCATTGTATCATGTCCCCATAATAACTACTAATCAAGTTCTTTTAACAGGGCCGTGGAATAGAAACAAATCTCTATGCTCAATTTAAATGTGATTCCCTTAAGATTGGAATGGTAATGCACCTTGCCATTATTTTACCTTTCTTCAATAATGAAAATTTGATCTCTGATGTTCCTTATTTCTTTATTGGCATCCTTTCTTAGGTCAAACATCCTGAGGTTGCACAATTTCTTGGGGGACGTTTATATGACTGCGTATTCAAATACAATGAAGTTTCATGTTAACAAGCCTTATTCTTTTCTCTACTAATGCTGCACAAACTGCATTTTTTCTACAGTTGATCCTTCAACTTGATACATCGTTATATGCCTTTAGTTTGATACTTTTTAGAATGTCAAGTTAGTGTTATAAAGATGATATATAACTGAACCATTTTACTTGAAATAAAAAGCGATTCTACATGCATGTTTTGTTCTCATGCAGATAGAAAAAAATGCTCACAACATACTATTTGATACATCTGTATTCCATTTCTTATCATACATTTAACTAGCAAAAAAGGGAACAGGGTCTGCTAGAAAAATAGTATTGTATAATTTCTAAGGAAAATTACATTAACTTTCCCTATTATTTTGTTTAGATCAACTTCTTTGCAAGTGCTTTCAGAAGAAAATAAGGACATTAAATCTGTTAATTTTTCTATAAGCTAAAAATTGATTTAACTATAATTTCGTCTACACATGACATTTCTCTATCTCAAATAGACACTGTTTCTTACCCATGAACACATGGCTTTTGACCAAAATTATCCAAATAAAAACAATACGTCAAAATAATACACAGAAAATATAACTTGTGAGTTTAAAGTTGTGCGTAAAGATTGAGATAGAAGAGAGAAATATAAATGTAAAGTAATATAATAAGAAAAGGGAAATATATTTTCCTCTGATATTTTTAACTTGTGATCATGTTTGAAGTATTAGTAGAAGAGCACAAATGTCATGTTGTGATCACATGTCGCTTGTCTTTGTCTTTTTCACTTCCCTTCTTCAGAAGTGCAATGTGGCAAACCAACATTGTTGAACATGTCTGATGAGAGCAATAAAAACAACATTGCCACGTGCTTCTGATTTCTGTGTTATGTGCACGTTTGGATGTTAGTTTTGAGACCTCAAATCTATGTCTTGAAAGTTTTAGAAGCACATTTCCCTTCAACATGTAGAAGATATCCAACTTGTTCTCTTCTACACAAATTCATTATTATGAACATGTGATACAAAACCTTGCAGGGCATATATTATTCTTCTTATTATTCAATGAGCATTAGAAGACGTATTCCACAAGGAGTGGATTTCGTACATGTATATCAATATATAAATGAGTGAATATAATTAAAGGAAGATCCATTGAATCTTTGTTTCTTAAGAGTTGTATAATGGAAGTATGTCTTTAGTCTTACCCTTATTGCTGCCATGATGGGATAATACAATTGTTTTTAATTCACCAACTATAACCTGTCACAACCAATAAAGGGAATCTGCAAATAAAGTTTCTCTTATTAACTACAACTTTTTCATTCATAAAGTTTAGTCTAGAAATCTTGCTTGAATTATTCTAATCAGTACCACACATATCAGTTTCTACAACAAGTAATTTCGTAATGTTCTAAAAGTTTATTTCTGAATCTTCAAGGAAAAACCACCAAAGTTTTCATAATCAGAATTTAGTTTATCATGAGACATCAAATATTTGACCATTTGTGACCAAAAAAAAATCACATTCTTCCTGATTCTTCAGATCCGCTATTAACTTGCATGTCAATTCAAACACACATTTAATGCCAAGTCACACACCAGAAGATATTACTATCAAATCTAGGAGATGATGAAAAGGACATAGATTGTGTACAACTCATTATGTTTTTCTTTTTCTTAAATGATGTGTGGTTGGAATACATGTTTAGATATAGTTTGTGAATGATATTCTTAAAAGCATTAAATTCCAATGGAGATCTTATAACAACTAGCATGGAGGAATGGAAAATTGGAAAGGAGGAAAGAAATGGTGTGACAGAAGCAGTGGAAAGTGGATGAAGATAATATGACAGAACTTGGAAGGGAGAGGAAATAAAAAGTTTGAAGACAAAAGAAAAATATCTTTAATGTTGAAGTTGTTTATTTATTTATTTATTTATTTCACTCTTAGTTTTAATTTTTATACATATAATTGTTTCATTTTTAATTATGTAAATTTTAATTTACATTATATGATCACATGATTTTTCCTTATTAATGTGATAAAATCAAATTGAATAAAAATACATTTACATCTTAAACTCATAAATACGTTTTTTTGAAAAAAAAAATCTTATGTTTAATTTTTATTTTTTTTGGTGTATGATGTTTTTTTTCTTTGATTATCGAAAAGGATATTAAAAAGAGATACTTGGTCTTTTTTATTTTTTAACAACAATGTAAAGGTTAAGCCACATGATTATTATTAATGACATTTTTAAGAACTAATTAATTAGAAGACTAATACAAAACTAATGAATAAAAAAAGTATTATTTCACTAATATTCTGGTTATTTGTATCTGTAAGATGTAACAATTAATGATACATGCATCATGCACTTAATCATGTTGACATTAAATTACAGTACCAAAAAATGAATAGAATAATTAAAATAGTAAATGAAGCGCGTGAGAAAAGAAAACATTTTTATCTTTTGGGGTTTCTTTTTCTTTTGGAGATATACATGCCCTACCGTATCAACCTTTTCTTTCCTACCCTACCAACCAATTATTATATATTCTACCCAAACGCCACACTTTTTTTATTAATTAAAATTATATAAATCCTACAAATTTCTAAAAATGATTTTCGACCAATGGTATTATTATAAGATTAGTTTTTAATTATTAAATTATTAGTATTATTATTTAATTAAATATAAAATAGGTCAATTAAAAATAAATGATAAAATAATTATAAAAATATGTAGTATAATTATTATATATTCTTTTTTTCCACGTTATGATGAACCGTTCTTAATTCGTCAACTCTACTTCAAAGTTATATTAATATTAATAAGATTCCAAAGATGGAGATCCTAATTATTAGATTTCATTTCATTCACTATCATTTTGAATTTTTATTAGAATGTTTTTCAATCATATTTTATTATTCATAAAAATAATTCAAAATATAATTTTCACACATTTCATTACTACAAAATATACTTTCCACGTCGTCATTTAACGTCGGTCAAAACCGAGCTGACGTTGAATACACTTTTAACGTCAGTTTTTAGTCAACTGACGTTAAAAGTTGAATTTGACACATTCAACATCGATTTTAATCAACCAACGTTGAAAGTTGAATCTTGAATACACTTTCAACGCTCGGTTTTTAGTCAATCGACGTTAAAAGTTGAAATAATATAAAAATTAAGATAATTGTCATTGACAAGATTCAAACTCATTACATTAATGGTAGAAGCGATACTCCAACCACTAATCTACTAAGATTTTCCGATAATAATTTATAAATAAATTATATTTATATACAAATAAATGAAATATATAAATATATTTATATCCGTGTAAATATATAAATAAAATATATTTTTATATATTTACATAGATATATATTTATTTGTATATAAATATAATTTATTTCTAAGTTATTATCGGAAAATTTTAGTAGTTTAGTGGTTGGAGTATCGACTCCGACTCTAAAGTATTGGGTTCGAATCTTGTCGATGACAATTCTCTTAAAACAATATAAATAAATAAAACTAAATAAATAAAAATGGATTATAAAAAAATAAAAAAATTAAACTTTTTACATCAGTTCTTCTTATAACCGAGGTAGAAAGTCAGCACTTTTAATGTCGATGGAAGACCTTCCATATTTGTCCACATAATGTGGGAATACATAATAATATATAACCCTAAATTAAATTTAGTTGAATTAAAATGAAGAAAAGTTTGAAGATATGAAAGAAAATGTTAATACAAAAAAAAAAAAGAAATGAAGTGTGAGGGGGTACCGTAGAATGGAAGACAGTGATTATTACATTGCAAAGGGAATATACAGACAAGAAAGAAAAGAGAGATTATTGATTGTGTGTTTGAAAATTTTGTGTACCCTACTTTGTTGATAACAAATATAAGGCCAATATTCAAAAGACACATGTGCTAATATGTATTATGTAATGATTAATCATAATGATAATTAATCATAGCACCATATATAATAATACTCTATGGCAACACACACAAAGTTTCTACCTTTTTCTTCTCACATGGATCAATGGACGTTGTTTAATTACCAACCCTAAAACTTCATTTCTCATTTTCAAAAATTTCTGCTTTCTAACACTTTACCCACCCTTCAAAATGTTTTCATTTCTAATATACATTGCTAATAATTTCTATGTAACTTTTATCAAAATATTATATTGTTAATAAATTTATATAAAAAAAATATTTTTTGTCTCCATTGAATTTTATATCATATTTATTTATATTTAAATTTATTGAAATTGAATAATAATATTAATAATAATAATAATAATAATAAGTAATCAAATCATATATATAATATTTTAAAAAATGTACATTATATCAAATTTGATTTGTATAAATGAGATATCAAATAATTTGATTAATATATATATATATATATATATATATATATATATATATATATATAATTGATTTGAAATCAACTTTCAATTCAACTGAATTTTGAAAGAAAAAAATAAAGAACAGAAGTCAATTAAAATATATTGAACGGTGAAAGAAATAAGTCAACTAAAATATATTGAATGGTGAAAGAAAAAAAAGTCAACTACTATATATTGAATGGTGTAATATCTATGATAATAATCTAATTTCTTTAGTATAGTATTTCCTTTTAAAATTATTATTAATAATGTCAAATAATTATTATTTTCATTTATTAAAGAATGATATTTAAAAAAATTATAAATATTAAAATTATTATAAAAAATTAAATATATAATATATCTAATTCAATTTTACAAAATTAATTTAATAAAATAAAAATTATATTTATTTATATATTATAATATTATGGTATTTTTAATTAACAATAAATTTTTTTATTATATTATCAAAATATTTTATGTTTCAATATTTAGAATTGATTGTAATATTAAATTAAAAATATAAAATATTTAACTTTTTTAATATTATATTATAAATGTAATATTATAAAATTAATTTTATAAAATAATAATTATATTTACTTATAT